AAGGCCGTGTCCCCCGCCCCGAGCACAATCACAACCCCCCGGATGGACGGCAGGGGCGAGCGGCAGGCGCACATTCCTGGGCAACAGAAGGAAAAATCTTTAGGGGGAGAAACCGCTGTCGCAAGACAGCTCGGAGCATGCTCATCCTCGAAGCGGTGGGAAACGGCATCGCGCAGCGTTCGGGGCGGATGTCCCCATCGAAGTCCTCTGCTTCACTGGAAGAGCTCTTTTCTCATAGCCCGGCCCGCGCGGCTCAGGGGTTGAGCTCGACCTAGGAACCGGGTGGTCATGGTTTGATTCCCGGTCAGGGCACATGCCTGGGTTGTGGGCTTAATCCCCAGAGTGGGGCGTGCAGGACGCAGCCGATCCATGATTTTCTCTCATCACTGATGTTTCTCTCTCCCTCTCCCTTCCTCTCTGAAATCAATAAAAATAAATATATGTATAAAATTTAAAAAATTAAAAAAGGCTCATATACTCATATATGTAATTCCATAGTCAGTACCTTGCGCCTCCCTTTTCCTTCTAGAAGGATAGCTTGCAACACATTTTGAGGGGCACAGGTCCTAACAAGCCGGAATCGACGAGAGCTCTCTTGGCAAGGGGTGGCCTGTATTTTTCATGCGGCCTCGTTAATTTTCCTTAGAAGAAAAGGCAGTGCTGCTCACGACCTGGGCCCATCACCCACAGCGCGTCCTGCGTGTATGTCACTCAGCCATGATGCTGTAAGACTTCTAGCAAACAGCCCCGCTATACATTACCTACCATTCAGGAAACTTGGAACATTAAAAATTAACATACTGCGAATAAGTGTTCTTTCTGTAACTGAAGAATTTCTGAAACTATTTAAATAGTTAAAATAAAACTTTCTCCTGTTGACCATTTTTCTATGTTTTTTTTTAAATAAAAGTGAGCATTAAAGGGAAATGACTTTTTTTGTGTGCATTTCTCAAGAGCACCTATATGAATGAAGATCTGATGTCCATATGAAAATTCGTGTAAAACGGTAAAATGCAGGTGCTCTCTCTGTCTTGAGTGGTATGTATTATCGGATTAAATACAACTGCTGATAAGATAAATTACTATAATTTTTGAAATGGCATCTTGGATAGCATGGGCCTATAATTGTCATAAACATAATAATCAATTTGCTTGGGAGAGTCTGTATCTGGGATTACATAACCGGCTCCTGCAATTCTCAAATGAGGTCACGTGTGCTATGACCTTCCTTAGAAAGCATCTCAGTCACATGTATATCCTGCTGGCTTGGAAGGAGGAAGAGGGGGTGGTACACATCTTTGGTGGTAAACTTCTATAAAATAATCTATAGAAAAAGACGTGGCTTTAAAAAAAATGTTTGGAGAAAATGTAAGCTCTTATCTTTTCTACATGCAATTCGATGTCAGAATAGACTTTTAAAAGTATATATGCTGGCCCAGCCGGCGTGGCTCAGTGGTTGAGCATCGACCTATGAACCAGGAGGTCACGGTTCGATTCCCAGTCAGGGCACATGCCTGGGTTGTGGGCTCGATCTCCAGTAGGAGGTGTGCAGGAGGCAGCCGATTCATGATTCTCATCATTGATGTTTCCATCTCTCTCTCCCTCTCCCTTCCTCTCTGAAACCAATAACAATATATTTCAGAAGAAAGTGTGCATGTTTCAAGGGTTGCTGGGACTTGTTTTTGGAGAATATATTTCAGCCTCTTTATCATTAGGACACGACTCCAGCTCAGATACAGCAAAGCTTCAGGCTGTTGCTGAGCTCGCTCAGGACGTGCGGCCACACGGACACCACGCCCCAGGGTGTCCGCCCAGTGTCTCCCTGTCACTTCACCCGCTCATTGCTTCAGGCGAGACCATCTTCCCGCCTGCTGGGATACAACCATTTGTCCAATTTCAAAATGAAAAGATTAAATGCACTCGGATCCAAACTGAAGTCCCTGCCACTCCTTCTAAGAACATCTTCCGCGGTTCGTTTCCGACTCTCTCACTCGGAAGCAATGTCTCGGGAGGCAGCTCAGACGCCTGCAAGAGCGAGCCTCCTCCAGCGACGCCTGCCTGAGGGCGCACAGGTCGCCGCTGGCCAACGGGGGCATCGGCCCCCCGCCCCTGCTTCAGGTGAGTGTCATGAAGGATCCGCTGGCACAACATCCTCGGAGCCTGGACTTAATACCAACGTGTAACCCACCCGACCACGTCAGGAACGGAAGACGCTGTGTTTTACCTGCTTTACTGCCTTTGGCGACAAGAGGCAGAAAGTCCTTGGACGTATAAAAGCCCTGGTCCTGCGTCAGGCCCTGGAAGATGGGGTCCAGGTTGGGTTCTGGCAAACCTGAGGATAAACAGGTAGAAAATGTCGTTAGCAGGAGAAGCTGTCCTATCAGGTCGTTAAGCACATGCCCTGAGGATAAACAGGTAGAAAATGTCGTTAGCAGGAGGAGAAGCGTGTCCTATCAGGTCGTTAAGCACATGGAAAGCTGCCATCACTATCATCAGGTGGTTCTTAGAGGGGAAGAAATCTGTAAGCAAATCCACATGGAAGAATGCTCTTAATACGATGCACCAGACCTGAGAGACCTTTATTAATATAAAGCTAGGCACACATCAGACATCACACCTCACACACACACAGTCATACACAGAAGCATGGATGCACAC